GGCCGGCTTCCCGCAAATCTCCGTTTAAATCAGGCCTCCTCTCTGCTCCTCTTGCTCGGACCACACCTTTGTGATAACCAACAGCGAAACGAGACCCAAGCATTCGGAGCCAGAACAAGGGTGTGGCGGATCCCGACGATGCTTGTTGCGCCCAAAACACGCCGATCGAAGGAACAAATCAAACCAGATAACATCCTCAAAAGAGCAAGTGCCCACATGGCGAGGGACATGCCCCCATGCCTGAACAGGGCAAGGCGGAAGATGTCCGGTCCTCTCTACGACATTTGCCAATGGGAGCAACGCGCCCCTGTCTCCTGCGTACCTAAAAGCCGGCCAACACTAAAGGAAAGTTTGACACTTCACACGGCTGAATGGCATTACCAGTTTATTGTTCTCCCCGGAAAGCTGCATCACTGGATGGGCGTAGAGTAGGGGGGTGCGGAAGCCGGAGGGGGAGGACCACTCGGAGCATCGACCCACTTTGCCGAACGCCTCTTTCCATTGTGGTGGCACGGTGGAGCCCCCCGATTGACATTGTTCTCGGATGTGTGTGGGGCAACGTTGCTATTGTCCAACGCCTTCGGCCCCTCTGCTTCTCAACCACACCCGCCGGCCGAGGGATCGCACCGCCCGTCGTACCCCAGCGGCAACCCGTACCGAATGAGTTGGATCGAGTCTCGGATGTCCCAGCCACGAACCATTCCTTCGGTCCTTCCCACCCCTCCCCCTGATGCATTTTACCCTTCCCGAATTTTCTTGAGCAAGATGAAGAGATCCCCTTTCACTCACCCCAGTAAATCACACAGCCCCTGCCAGGCCACTAACTCCGGCGCCGGCCATTGTTGGCGTCGTTGGAACTGGTATCGTTCTGAGCTGTTTCCTCTCGGCATGCTGTCTTCCATATTGCCGGATTTCTTTCAAGGGTGAAATTACTCTGGGTGAATCTTGGCTGACGAGGATACTTACGTTGCCAATCACCTGCTACCTCGACGGCCAGGCAGGCCACTCGGCACAGTATCCCCCCATCTTCCGGGGGGCTGGCAGCAAGCCGCAAAGCAATGTCATGGCAGGAATAGTGAGCTTTGGCGAGTCTGGATGCTCTTTCAAGGGTAGCGCGGAATTAGACCGGCCTCACAGGTCCCTGTTGTCTTTCGTTCGCTCGCTTCAATAAGCAGGGTTGGGTGCGGCATAGCATATCGTACCCTGGGGCCTAGGCTGCTATCCATTCCAACATCCAACGCTTCTACACCCGGCCGTAAGGAAGATCAAATCCCTCAACGGTGTTTGAAAAATGTTTGCCATATCGCCAGAGAATGATCTTCGTCATTCCATCATGAACACGTTGGCTTGTGATGACACAACGTAGCATGCCGACTGCATCTGCATGTCAACGGGAAGGGTTATGTGTTCGTTGAGCTTCTCGCAAATTAACATGCTGTAGAATGCTCTGGCTTCAAGTTCATTAGTGATATTAAATGCATATTCTAGAATGATTTCAAAGGACTGACGGATCAATCATGAACCCACTGATACCGGGTCATCAACTTTCCACCAGCCACCGGGCTCTTCAGGTAACGTACCACGTTTGATGTTCCCAAATCCGATCGCCGATTCTAACCCCATTATCCCATCTTGGCCGGCTTCCCGTAGACCGGTGTACGCCTCGTTACTTGGCTCGGTGTGATTAAGTTACCACTCCACAGCCCTAGCCCCACGACGAGATGGCCATCAGATGCCGACCCATGAAACGCCAACATACCTGCACGTAACGTGGCGATCACGAAGTAGTTCCAACTGAACATTTCTGATGCCGCTCGACTTACTCGGCATAGTGCCGACCAACCCACCAAAAAGCCATGGCAAGTTGCCAAACAAGATCCAGCTTGGTTTGCTTGGCGGAGCTAGCCTACTCCTGTAATCGCGGACAAGCGCACATGTTCATGAGTAGAGTGCCGCTTTTATGCTGTTGCTTTTCTTTCTCCCGCTGAACCGCCTACCCACAGATATTTCAGTTACTACTCCAGTGGATTGGCATCAATTAGCCCACGAAGAGACATGAACAACAACAGCAATCTCAAAATGCCGGCGCGGATCCGCTTGCGGCATTCAGCATACCCACTATAAAAGCCGAAAGTGTTTCGAGGTTGCCTGCTACAAACATGCCATCTCTCCAATGCGATTCGGCCGTAGACATACGTCTGGCCCAAAGCGTACAAAGCATACATAAATCATCGTTGAGACGGAGCTGGTTCCCCTCATCTCTGGTTGGGTACCGTTGGGATGGTTGACCTAATCTTGCCAGGTCAAGCCCAAAACCTACGTTCCCCCTATCCCACCACCAGCTCTTTCTCTTCTCCTTCTCTCCCTCTCTCACCCTCGTTTCCCCATGTGCTCGAACCACTCCCCACGCTTCCCTCTAGATGGAGATCTCATCGCAATGCACGCTACTACGTGCCTGGGTCACGAACCTCACAGGAGCAAGCTCACCTGCTCAATTGTAGGAGGAAACGACAAGGAGACAGGATCGAGTGCTTTGGGGTTTGGGGCTACACACGGAGTACCATCCCACTGCAACTTTAGTCGATACGACTGTCCCGATCGGGAAGCGTAAAGAGGGAAAGATTCCGTCCAGCCAGGTCGGGGTCTGCTTCAGCCCTATTGTCGACTTTTGTGTAACATGTTCGTGTGAGGTAATTCCAGGTTTACGGGCATTTCGAGCATCAGCTGATGGCAGCAGCTACCATTCAGTCGACGGTGAGAAGTCAATATCCAAAATCAAAACAATCTGTTGCTTACGTTGATCACTTGACCGCATTAGCAATACCAAACTTGTCTCTTTGCGCTTTGTGGAGCTGAAAAAACCCCCATTCTCTCAGTCTCACCGCACCTTGCGCAACGCAAACACCCTCCCGGAGAATCGTCAACTTCGGGAAGAGACACCGGGCCGCAACCTTGATACTGAACAATGCTCCCGAACTTCACGGACCGCAACGGGGCTCGAGGACGTATCCATCGATCGGAAGACTTTCCACATTTCCCGTGGTTCCCGTGTTTGCGGCCCGGAGTTTTGTGTGACGGTCTCCGGAGGTGGAGGTCTATTCAAGTCTTTGTTTAGATCCTGGGGGCGTTGGCTGATACGGTACGTTTGTTCGGAGGAAAGGGAGACAGATGATTATAATAAGGTTTTCTCGTACACGCATCAAGATACTGGAGGAAGTGACACAAAAAGGATTTTGAGTCTTTGTACTTGTGTGTAGAATATCACGCCTACGCGCAAACGGGCGGCTGGTTCTTGACGAGGGCCACACACATTTGAAACTGAAATATTGGCTAACATTTATTTGTCTCATTGAAATTGTAAGTGCATGAAAAGGATAAGTACTCCTCCCAAGGAATGAGGAAGTACACAAGAAACGACAACTCATACAATAAGCCATTAACAGTTTCAAAACATAGTCATCTATACTTAGAAGTGGATCGCTTGATCATTGGGACAAAGTGGCTCCGTTATCAAAATTCAGAGGACATAGCTAGATACAGAACACGCCAAACCCCCCAGCAATCACTCGCTGGACAATACTCAGTATGTACAAGACACATACGAGATCAGCACGGCATAAAAGTAGGAAATTCCAATCATCCTCATACGAATATCACCCCAAGACCACAAAAATTGAAAGGGACGAGACTCGAACTCGCGCGGGTTGCCCCACCAGGAAACAGATGTTAAGCTGACCTTAACCTGGCGCCATAACCAACTCGGCCACCCTTCCATGTGGATCGCCCCAGCTCCGGTGCCCAGCTCCTCTGGGCCCGGCGGACGTTGTGTGGCGGCAGCATCGAGAAAGGGTTATATCAAGGATTCAATTTTCGCAAATCTCGCGACGGCGACGACAACGAACTTGGAGGACTCTCATAGCGATTGACACTGCGAAACTTTTGCCCGTTCTTTTTGTGACACGTCAAATTTCGCGGCCCTCCCACCGGCGGAAACTTTGTCAAAAAGGTATACTCCGAATTAGACTTTCCGTCCTGCATGCTGAAAGTCCGACTTTGAGTCTGGGCCAAAAGTCATTTTCCCCTCCTTATCCGAGCATGTAGACAGTCAGTTGCGGGCGGGCAGTGTAGCGTTCAGTCTATCAACCGACGTATGGCGTGCGATCCGCTTCATGCTGTTGAGAAACATGTCTAGGATTTGCCCGGCCGTGTTGAGCCTAGGTTTCCTTCTAGAACTGCAAGGGGACGTCCCGAGACACTTCGTGGAATTGAGGCGGTGAAGCTTGATAAAAGTGCTGCTGGGTGCTAGGTAGTCGTGTCTGGCTCGCGTCATTGGTTCACAGTTGCATGTCTCAGAAAGTCAAGTTCGTGAGATCCTCATCTCTATTGCCAGTAGCCAAATGGTCTACCTATCTACAAATCATGAGCTATCTCCAAGCCCACATCATCCCCATGCCCAAAGATGAAACCTCTGAGGCCTGTCTCCCCCGGCTATTCGCCTCTGCCACCCTCAACCGCGCAAGAGATGGTCGGCTAGAAAACCAGGAAAGAAAAGATGTTGAAGTTCTTTTGTTTCCCCGTTAACGCCGTTGTAGATGCTTTGTTCCCCTTTCGAACAATCCGAAGGGTATCTTTCTCATAATGCATTGCTCTTTTTGTGACTTTGGAAAAAAGAAAACGAAAAAAAATCGCTTCAGGATTTGTTCCTGTGTAACCCGCTTTGTGTCTTTGTTGAAAGACGCCACCGCTCCCTTGTTCCGATTGTTTTTAACACCGTTTGACATAAAATGAAAAAACGATCCTACCAAAAAGACCACGCCCTCGTGTCTTGATGTTGCTGTTGCTGCCTTTACCCGAAAAGGCTGGAAACCGGGATTCGTTGAGAACCGTACGCCATGTTTGAGTGCCTGTCCGCATGAATATCAAAATTAGTATAAACGTCTAGGTCGTTGCAATGCAGGAAGCTTGTTGAAGAAATCCTGCTCGGTCCAGTACTAATTGACTTAGAACTTGAGAGTCTTAGGCTGCTCCCAGGTGAAGGTCTGGTTGGTACCGAAGTGACCGTTCTTGGCGGTCTGGAGGTAGATGGGGCGGTCCAGGCTGAGCTCGCGGACAATGACACCGGGGCGGAGGTCAAAGTTGTCGCGGATGATCTTGACGAGCTCATCGGAGGTCTTGTCAGAGGTGCCGTAGGTATCGACGTAGATGGAAAGGGGCTCAGCGACACCAATGGCGTAGGAAAGCTGGACAAGGGCACGACGGGCAAGGCCAGCGTTGACAAGGGACTTGGCGATCCAGCGACCGACGTAGGCAGCGGAACGATCGACCTTGGAGAAATCCTTGCCGGAGAAGGCACCACCACCGTGGGCACCCCAGCCACCGTAGGTGTCGACAATGATCTTGCGACCGGTCAGACCGGCGTCACCCTGGGGACCACCGATGATGAAGAGGCCGGAGGGTTGGATCTGATGGATGTTAGTCGGATAGCCATAAAGTAGCGCAATGGGGTAAGAACTTACGTGGTAGACGGTCTTGTCGTCAAGGTACTTCTCAGGGATGACCTTCTTGATGATCTTCTCCTTGATCTCCTTGCGGAGCTGCTCGGTGGTGATGTCCTCAGCGTGCTGGGCAGAGACGACAATGGTGTCGACGCGCAGGGGAACAACGGCACCGTTGTCGTGCTTGTACTCGATGGTGACCTGGGTCTTGGTGTCGGGGCGGAGCCAGGGGAGGGTGCCGTCACGGCGGGCAGCAGACATGGCAGCGTTGAGCTTGTGGGCGAAGAGGAGGGTGAGGGGGAAGAGCTCAGGGGTCTCGTCGGTGGCGTATCCGAACATGATACCCTGGTCACCGGCACCGAGCTGCTCGAGGGCCTTCTCGTAGTGGAGACCCTGGGCGATATCGGGTGACTGCTGCTCAATGGCGACGAGCAGGTTAAGGGTCTTGTAGTCGAAGCCCTTGGCGGAGTCATCGTAGCCGATGTCCTTGACGGCGTCACGGACAACCTTCTGGTAGTCGAGCTTGGCCTTGGTGGTGATCTCACCGAAGACCATGATCATACCGGTCTTAGTGGCGGTCTCGCAAGCGACCTTGGAGAGGGGGTCCTCTCTCAGGCAGGCGTCGAGGATGGCATCGGAGACCTGATCGGCGATCTTGTCGGGGTGACCCTCACCGACAGACTCGGACTATCTCGGGAGTTAGCATGGGTGTTCGGCCTGAGGGGTTGTCGGCAATTAGCGACCAAAAGGGTTTGCTCACGGTGAAGAGGAAGTTGCCCTCGTTGAAGTGCTTGCGGCTGGCAATGCCGTTGCCGTTGACACCGTTGGTAGCAGACATCTTGAATAGATGTGTGGGGAAGTGTGTATGTGAAAAGATGTGAAGAAGAGAAAGAAAAAGTTTTGAGAAGCTCGGTGCGGTGAAAAAATACCGACGCGGGGTTCCGAGGGGCTATGAAGACAGCAACGGGTAAAAGCTACTTCTGGATTCAATGGGTCAGCGGTTTGTCCTCTTTTCTCTGGGTCTGCGTGGAGGGGGAGGGAAGCTCAACGCAAAGCCAATTGCATACCTTTTGAGATGGAGAAGGGACACGGAGGACGGTGAGGCTTGTGGATGTAGAAGGAGGAAAGAGTGCGAGAGGAGGAAGAGGAAGATGTGGCCGTTCGGGTTTTAAAAGAAACACAAGACGAGCGCGCGACCTGGGGATGGGGACTCTGGGACCCGACTTGGGACTTGGGATGGTGGCCGGTTGGGAAGAAATTCTCGCTCCTCACTTGCTCCTCTTGCTCCTGCTTGCTGCTCCTCTGTATCTGGATGTACCTTTTGCTCCGTACCGTACCTTGCCATAAGCTCAAGCGGATTTGAGGCACTATTCGTGGGAGACATTGGCCGAGGGCCGGACGGCAGGGAAGGTACCCACACCAGCATAGTAAATTATTGTGGTGGGAAGGTATATTCACCGGTCAACCCCTCCATCCCTATGTACCGGCCCTGTCGAGGGGGAGGGTCCAAAATTCTCCAGATTGCGCCATCCTCACGACTTCTCTCCCTTGACCGCCTTCACCTTCCGCAGCATATCTGTGACCTGTGTCAGTCAGGCACGCTCCCATTAGCAGAAAAGGCACCGTACGTGCCGTACCAAAACACTCTTCAGGCCACATTACAGCACTTCCGTGTACCGCTACGGCCACCTCTTGGTCGGTGAGTTGCGGTTCAACAAGATAGCGGGCATCCCACGGTACCGTGGATTCTGGAAGGGAGCAAAAGCTCGGATTTACACAGTCGCCAGGATGCGCACCTTAACGAGAGCAGCGGTGATCGTTCCCCGAGGGAGCTCGGGCTTCCTTCTGTTTCGTCCTTCCCATTTTTTCCCTAGTCCTTTTCTTTCCTCTTGGCCAAGGCCAGCACAAGCCCGATGGCGTTAAGAACCTTATCCTCGCCTCACAAACTACGCAGTAAAGTGATAAGGTAGCTTCTATTGTGTGTAGGTAAGCAAAGTACGGGACATAAAAAGCAGGATGGCATCGCGCAATTGTTGTAGTCAAGCACGGGAGCTGAAACTCCCAACGGGAACTTTGCTGACCTGAGATTGTCTCCTTTGAGACTCTTCTAGTTCTGTCTCTCCTACCAATGCATTGTCAAGTTAATGACATTCCACGAGGCGTCCCTTTCTTCCTGGATAAGACACGCGAGTTGTTCGAGACTGGGCAATACAGCCCCCTGTTCAAAGTTCGGAATGTCAACGGCACGCGCATACTTCTCGGCGACATTCCCATCCTCCATTCTTCCCATACGGTAGATATCTGAATGTGTCCTTAACATACAGCAGTGACTCCCTCGGCGTATCCCTCCTGCGAGGACTCGCATTCCGAACAAGACTGCGAAGCCACCCCTCCAATACCTCTGGAGACAAGTGAGAAACCCCCGCCGAAACAGGCTAATCCCACCTGGGAGCTACGCTGTATAACATCTGTAACGGGCCTGGTGAGAATATGCCCCTCCCGCGCTCTACACGTGCGAGCGGCATTGGCCCGTAATTCCGCAGCAAGCCGCCCGTCATTGTTCTCACTGTTAGAGCAAATTGGTCCATGGGAAGGGGAGGGGGGCCATCTCATTCGAGCTGGCATCCTGTTGTCTCTTATCGCAAGCTATCGCCGCCGCGAAGCAAATTTTTTTAATTTTTTTCCTCGTCGCTTGCCATCCTACATCCAACCCCCGGCACCGGCGCTGATATCACAGTGCAACCTTGTCGCATCCAATTTTTCTTCACCGCGTCACGTTGCTCAGCCCATCCAGTACCAGAGTCACATCACCCTCGCCCAAAGAGTCAAAGTGTAGCTTCTCTGATATCTTAGTAATAAGGTACCTGTCGGTACGGACACTCTTTTGTCTGGATCCTAAAGTGGCGCGCAAAGACAGGCGCTGCTGATCAACCGCGACCCTTGACGCGCGCCCGTTCCTGCATGGCGGGGTAATTTTCCATAGGCAAACGTCCATTCCTCTGCCCAAAAAGTCTGCGACAAGTGACTCTGCCGATCCAAGGCCACCACCACCATCTACCACCTAGGTACTCGAGCCGCTGAAGCTCCCGCCACTACTACTCTGCTACACGATACCCAGACTCAGGCACTCGATCAGGAGAAAACACACACACACAGCCTCTTGCTTAGCTCTGCCCTTACATATCTGCTCGCAAGTCTCAACCCACGAAACGAACCGCCCATCGTATTCTCCCTCCCACACGCCATCATGTCCAAGTACGGCGTCATGGTTATGGGCCCGGCCGGAGCCGGCAAGGTCAGTACTCCAAAGCCCAATACCCTTCTTCCGCTCCGTTACCCGGCCTCCGTGCGGCATTCAGGACCGCCGTCCCATCTCTTCGTCCCCGTTACGCCGGCCGGAGCGCCGGCTTACATCCCTCAAAAATGTCATCCGAAAAGCTAACATTCCCTTCGTCTCCGGCAGTCCACCTTCTGCGCCTCCCTCATCACCCACCTGAACCTCAATCGCCGCTCCGCCTTCTACGTCAACCTCGACCCGGCCGCCGAGTCCTTCGAGCACGCGCCCGACCTCGACATCAAAGACCTCATCTCCCTCCACGACGCCATGGAAGAGGTCGGCCTCGGCCCCAACGGCGGCCTCATCTACTGCTTCGAGTTCCTCATGGAGAACCTCGACTTCCTCACAGAGGCCCTCGACAACCTCACAGAGGAGTACCTCATCATCTTTGACATGCCGGGCCAGATCGAGCTCTACACCCACATCCCCATCCTGCCCGCCCTCGCCCGCTTCCTCTCCCAGCCGGGCAGCCTCGACATCCGCCTCTGCGCCGCCTACCTCCTCGAAGCCACCTTCGTCGTCGACCGCGCCAAATTCTTCGCCGGCACCTTGTCGGCAATGTCCGCCATGATCATGCTCGAGATCCCCCACATCAACGTCCTCTCCAAAATGGACCTCGTCAAGGACCAGGTCCGCAAAAAGGACCTCAAGCGGTTTCTCACGCCCGACACGGGCCTCCTCGACGACGATCCCATCTCCATCGCCGCCGCGGGCGGCGAGCCCGACGACGGCCGCGGCGAGGTGCACGACCGCGACCTCGTCATGCGCGGCCGGAGCTTCCAGAGGCTCAACCGCGCCGTCGCGGGCCTGATTGAGAGTTTCAGCATGGTCAACTACCTCAAGCTGGATAACACGGACGAGGACAGCGTCGGCGCGATCCTGAGCTACGTGGATGATATCATCCAGTACCACGAGGCGCAGGAGCCAAAGGAGCTCAAGGACGAGGAGTTTGACGAGCCGCAAGACGATTGAAGCTCCAAAACGCGTTGACATGGGATGCAAGAAGGGGCGGTTCTCTCTACTGTTCAGTGCTCGCGAATGCACGGATCTCACTTGGCTGTGGTTGTGCCAGGCGCGCTCAACATGGATGGCATATTAACGAAAAAACAATAGGGCAAGGAGATATAGAAGGTTGCATAGCGTTGGCGTTGGTATTTATTTAATCCATTGACTCATTCATAATCGTCCGACAACATCATTGGCATCGTTGTTCTGTCTGCCACTGTACCGTATACCATTTGCCTGCTTGACCGAGAGCCGCGACAGAGCTTCTTGTCTTCAGTCTTCAAATATACGGTGCTTGTCCAGTCTCTTTAACCCCTCCCATGGCACTGTAGTCGTTCTCATGGCCTCGAGCCTTCTGGGTCAACGGTTCGAATGTAACATCGAGTCCTGTTGCGTATGCCTCGTACAATTGTATCCCCCTTCTCCAAAAATACAATCCACGTCTTCCTTCCCCGGGGTATATTCCACCATTCGATTCCCAGCGACCCTTCCCCAGATTTGCTCAGCCAAGTATCTTCTCGTCGTGTTTTACGCCGGGAACCTTTGTCCCGAGTATATCCAGTAGGTTAGGAAGCTTGTTCAAGTTCCGGATTTCTGTCGACTCTTCGAAACGAGTTCCCATTAGATCTGCCCCTCTTTACCGATATTTGTTACCCTGGATCTTCGTTTCCTCCTCATACCTCCGATACTCGCTCACCCACACATCCTTCGCAGCAGCCGCAAAGCCCACAACTTTCCCGCCCACAACAACAGCGTCTCTCGCCGTCTCAAAGACGCCCCTCTGCCACACGGCCGCGACAACGACAACAACACCGCCCCAAAATGCGAGCCGCAGCACCAGCGCCGTCCAAAACGCAACGACACGCCGGATCCAGTTGAGCACAATCACCGTGGCAGCCAGCAGCGCGAGCAGCACCGCGAAAGACACGAGTTCGGGCGACGAGTGTAAAAAATCGAGCGTCGCGTCGACGGCGGGCGCGAGGTACGGGTACAGCTCGTCGAAGGCGCGGGAGGCGGCGGCTAGGGCGTGGCCTTTTAGCTGCTGGACGGGCGAGGACGGGTGGAGGGCATTTTTGTGGATAAAGTCGGCGGCGTCTGGGGGCAGGAGGGAGCGGAGGAGGAAGTTTGTGATCGACGGTTCGGCCATATTGGGTGGTTGTTGTCTTTCGGTGAGTTCTGTTGGACACCTTCGGGCGGGCTTTCTTTCGGAATTTGGTGTAATCTGAGAGAATGGAGCAGTCGTAGATGTTTGTCGATACGTGTTGTTTCTTCCCTGGTACGTCTTTCTGCGGCTTCTCGCTTGCTGCTCGTGTGTAGCTGTTCGTCTTTCGCTTTCGGTCGCGTGCGCGTGCGTACTTTTCGTTGTAGATGAGCGTGGCTCTTTTGATGCCCGACACTGAGATATACCCGAAAGAAAGGCAGAAGGAAAACTGGGTGAGGGTGTTGTTTTTCTCTTTGCGCTCAAAACCTAACCGACAATCATAACAACACAAATAAAAACGGTTGCGGTGAGGATGTGGTAGAGGGTCCTGTGCAGGTGGAGGAAGGAATGGAAATAGGCCAGGAAGGAAGGTGGAGTTGGACCCTTGGATCCTTGAGCGCAAGCAGAGCAAGCAGGCACAAGGCACAAGCACAAGCAAATGCGGTGTGCACTCGAGGTGTATTTGTTGTTGGTGCTGCTGTTTTCCAAGTGGGGAAGATGGAGGGACCACGCTAATTCGCGACGTTCGTTGTTCTTCAAGCATGTGGGAAGGGGAACGCACCGACACAATGACATCGAGACTGGAACACCAGCCACTAGTATCTCTTAGACAAGGCTTATTAGATCTCAATATTTTACTGTATCCAAAAGTCAAAAAGGGAGCATCGATATGAATGGTAAGGTATTTTGTAGACTATCCCATATCTACGGAAATGGTGAGTATTTAGAACAGTTCCTGCATGGCCATACTACTATCCGTGTTGTCCATGTCAAGGAAATAATGATACTCAGAAGGCATGGCGATGCATGGTATTGCATAGTATTCTTGAACTAGGCTAAAGACTCGAATGGTAATCAGAAACCGTCCAGCTCTCTCTTCACATAATACACGTTCCCAGGACTGGTATTCTGAACAAAACGCTTAAGACGTCGAGTCTTCTTTGAACAAAGGAAAGGTGAGCAGCTGGAGCAAATGAATAGACGAGATACAAGAAGAGAAAAGTAACAGCTAGTACGTAGCTGTAAAAACGTACAAGAAGGGTATCGAAGTCGAAATAGGAAATGAATCGTCAACCGATGTGGGTTGCGTGGGAAATAACAAGCTTCTTCCGCCTAGCTCCGTTGCCTCCCTCAATCGCAGCCTCCCACTTTTCATTTGACATTATCAGTTATTCGTTTTGGACACCGGCGCTGGTGTCCTTGACCTGTTGCCGTCACTGCGCCTTGCAGCCTAGCCCCTACCACTGTTGAGACTCTCACGGATACAACAGATCATTGCGTTGAAAAGAACAATGAAACCATTATGAAGTTTCGCCCATACCCTCCAAGATCCGGCGAGCCGCATCGATGCGTCTTCTATACATCCGACTCTCCGAAGACGCCTTACCAGCCTCGCTCATGGCGAGCACGCACCTGCCGAGGCTGGCAACGAAGCGTTCGACAAGGATTTGGTCCTCCTTGGACAGTGCTTCCATGGGTGCGAGCTGATCAGGTGTATGCATACTCTCTTTGTCACAAATGCTAGCGGTTTCGCTCATGAGAGCATCAGAAATCGTCTTCAGCTCCAGCTCGGGAGAACCTTGGGGCGTAAGGACACCGACGCTAACACGCGCCTTGCCCACCAACGGGAAGCTTCGGTTGGTACCCGTTGAGTCGAAGGAAGCAGTCGACGGACGGTGACCCATCGTTGCTTGAGTGCTCATGGGTCGACGGTAGATTGTGGAGCCAGCCCGCGCGCGTGTTCTCAGTTCCTCCAAAACGTCCTCGCCGCCCATGGTGCTACCAATCGTTGACCGCTTGGCAGTAGGAGGGCTCTCAGTGTGCTCACTGATTGGGCTGACGCTTGGCGGGGTGAGAATACCATGTCTCAAGTCCTCGCTCACGTCGTTTGTGCTGATTCTGCTGCCTCGCCCCGAGCGAGCCGTAGCAAAAGACTCAATCGTTGAAGTAGTGTCGCCGCTGCCTCTTCGATGGTGCGATCTCGGTCGAATCGACTCATCCGATGTCATCGGTCCGCGAGTTGTCTCGACGGAGCTTTCGGAACTGACGCTGCCCCGACGCTGTTGGCTCAGGTTGCCTAGTGCGCTGTGGAGGAAGAAGTGTTCGTAATCGAAAGCGTCTTCTCGATCTTCGTGGGACATAAAAGTCTGGACTGTATCGTGGTAAAGGGAGTCACCACTCTCGCTGTCGTATCCATCTCCCTCCTGGACCTGCACACTGTCTTCGAAGCCGTCTTCAGTATGCATGTCAGAGATGTCATCGTCATCGTCAATTGCGTCATCCTGGCCCTTGTTTGCCTCCATAGCGTCGAGGGCCTTTTGTCTCTCTTCCAGTCGGATGGCCTCTTGGGCTGCGTCGTACTCGTCTACAACGGACTCGTTGTCTTCCATGATCGAAGGTTCCTGTAGTTCGACTAGTACATCGGATGGGAACCCCCGCTCTTGGACCAGCCCGTCGACACTGACTGCATCGGCGTTCCATGGGTTCTTGTCCGACGTAGCAGTCAAGGGCGGCGATTGCTCCTCTTGAGATTTGGCGTACCACTGATCGACCTGCGCATGAGTAAAGGGGCTTGGCGTTCGTAAGCTTTGCAGACTGCGCCGTCGCATTGTGTCCGCGCGTGCCTGCTCTCTCAAGGACGAGATCTTGCCTTTCAGGTCTTGTACCTGGCCCTTTAAGTCACGCATCTGCGCTACCGACGCCGAGCGCACCAATGGCCGATCACGACTCGAGGAACTGAGTGCCGGGCTCAGCAAGCTTTCACGTTTAGTGCTATCGCTTCCTGAGTGGAACTCTTGCGCAACTTCATCCTCGCCAAGAGGTTCCAGACCTATTTCTTGTGCTGCCTTGTATCGAGATTGGCCTTCCCCTCCAGAGTTCAGGCGCTCCAACGTAGCATCATGAACGTTCTTACGCACAGAATACGGTTGTCGATAGCCTCCAGCCGCTCCCATGGCGCTAGCGGACCTTCTTGGGATAGTGCCGTTGTTGCTTGCGTCGTAATTGAGAGACGTATCACTCAACATCCTTGCGTGCCCGTGAATAGAAGTTGGCGAAGCTGCGGATGAGGCAGGGCGCAAAATCGTGGGGGACGGGGTCGAATTATTCCCGTCAAACGAGGACATTGAAGGAGTTGAGATACTCAAAGAGCTTCGCGCTCTCGATAAGTTGCCTTCCATGGTCTGGAGATGTCAGCCTGCCTTCCTTACTGTTTCAGCGGGGTCAGAACTTACCGTCAGTCTCCGCTTGGCATTCGCCAGAATCTGCTCTGCTCGTCGGCTGATGAGTGCGGTCGAGTACCTATTGGGGTCGTCGAGGGATTCCCTGGGCGGTTGATGTATGGCATGTGCTTGATGCACAGATACATCTTCCGCATATGATTCTGCCACACTCTCTTCGTCATCGCCCTGGAAGTTGCTGTCGTCGACGCTTACGGTATCGTCGAAGTCTGCGAACATGGCATTCTGGTCTTGAGTGGTGGTGATGGTGCTTGTGGACTCTACGGAAGACCGGCGCGAACGCGTCGCTTGAGCCGCCCGCTTCTTCAAGCTCTCGAGCATCTTGGTGGGTGATTGTGGCTGTCGTGAATCGTCGCCGCTTCGATTATTGGGTCTGGACCAGATCACCGAAGTTGGGCGTGATCTTCTACCAGGTGTGCTCTCGGCCTCAGTGACCTCACCAATATCGGACAGCATAGTTCCATTCCCGTAGATTATTGGTGTCGTAGGAGTGATGGGCCCGGCGATATAGGCGCTTGGAGGGAATTGGAACTGCATGTTCATATCGACAGCATGCGAATTCTTCCACATTGTCAACGGAGAATGGGATCGGTCGGGAGAGGGCGAGCGATCGTAGTCGGGTAGAATCATGTCGGGATTCGTCAATGTAGGAGAAGCAGGCCGTGGGGGGTACGATGAGGTGGAGCTCGAGTGAGCATGGCCCGCGTGGGCGTTTAAAGTCTGAGTTGCCATTGTTTTTGATGGCAGAATCGGTTGCAAACGACTCAGGTTGCGTTTGTGCAGCCTCCTGCGCGTTGTATGATCTAAGCTGCAAGACGTTGATTGTCGTTGCAGCGGCCGTGGAGTCTAGCGACACAAAGCGAGTCGGTTCCCAACGGGGCTAGCTGCAATTAACCGGTAAACCTTCAGAGGCGCAAGAACCTCAATGGACAGTCACTCTTTGTAAACAATAAGCAACAGTCAGGACGAAGGCATCTGGGCAAAGTTTCGGGCAAAGTCAAAAACGCTGCCCACGTCTGCTTGGCCCGTGGCCCGTCCGGTCGTGATTCGGATGAATTAAGAGTTGGTTTCCAGGGTCGAGCTGGTTGTCAGGTTTACAATCAGACCAGATGAAGCTAAACGAGCTGCAAGCAAGTCGCGGAAGTTTTGGCGGGGTTCGAGGCAGAAGTGCAGGTTGATCGAGAAACGCCGGAGAGGTCGTCAAGAGGTGACTTGGTTGGGGCACTGCCGTAGATATGCGAGATTGCGTGGTGGCTTTTGCGGGCGCTGAGTGTAGAAAGCGTAGCAGCAAGTGGGAGTCCGTTTGCGGGAATAGAGACGTCGTTGGTCGTATGCAAGCGCATAGGTAGCAAACAGGCCGCCGTGTTCGGGGTAGGTGGCCGGAACGAGGAAGTCGAAATGCCGGTCTATCGTCGATCGTAGAAAGAAATCGGGATGCAAGAGCAAACGGCGTCCGTTGTAAGCGAATCCGGCTGTTCTTCCCCTTCTTTTCCCCCTCTTGCAGCGTGTTGGGTGATGATGCACAGCTGTGTCGCGACAGGCCCCAAGTTTAAGGGGTTGCAGCTGGTGGTTTTGGGGCGCGAAAGCGATGGGGGGTCCCGCAGGATGTTTGAAATTATCGAGAAAGTCGACCAATGAGACTGAGCCGATGTTTGTGAGACATGCAGCGGGTGCTCTAGTGCTTGCCCTGTCTCTCGCTGAGGTGCAGCAGGCGCAGGAGGAGCAAAGCACAAGTATTCGTACAAAACGAGTGGAAGTGTAGGTGAAAGACGGAAGATGGATCTGGTGAATGCCTCGTGGTTGCAGTTCGTTTCCCCTTCACTGATCTGCGTTGGCGGTGCAAGCAAGATAAGATGACAGGCTGCGGGAGATGAGCGGCCCAGGGATCGAGTATGCGTACATATGCGTATGGAGTATCCGTAGAGAGTACGCAGTACAAGCCGAACAGAGCAGGATCGCAGGAGGGCTCGAGACCTGAGGCGGCAGTTGATGCGTCCAATCCAATGTAGGTACTTGCTCGCTTGTAAGAAATGTGCTGCGTATGTTGAAGTTTACACTCAACAAGAGTACAAGTACACTTCGCCGCAGCTGAAATGTGTACCTTTAGAGTACGGAGTATCGAGTAAGGTCTCTTTCCTTGGAAGCGAACGGGTGTGGGAATGACAGGCTGAGGTGCACGAGAGCGGATGGGCGAAGCCTGGGCCGAGCCGGAAGGGAAAAGTAATAATGTATTCGTACTTGTGCTGCAGTAGCCAGCTGCCGAGAACGGTCTTGGCTTGTTGATCGGCGAGCTGACTGAGTGAGGACCAAGTGCGTGGTACGGAAAGCCCGTGGGTTTGTTCGTAGTCTACAAAGTAACGATACAGAATAATTAGCATCCGTAGACGCGCAAGTGACACTGACAGGAAGAACAACGCCCGTCAAAGGGGCTTCTCTGGGCCGTCAACTGCAGATGTCGCGTGGCATCTGATACTCATTATGTCTGTCCCTCTCTTCATAGTGTAAGGTACGCAGTATTAGAGCATCCTGGTCTGGCCCCATTGCCTGATGTCTGGCTTCTGGTCAAGTCATCATCTTCTTCCCGCGTCTCTTAATTCGCGAAATAGCTAAGACAGGGAACAGGCATTCCCCATGTCCAGCAGCCCTTCCGTTCGTAAAATTTTCAAATCTCTTGCTCCAACAGAGAAGGAGGCCAATGCTCGCGCAAGTTCACAACCTGGCTCGCAGTTGGTCTGTCCCCCTGGACCGGCCGCTTCGACCCTAGCCCGCGGTGGCTTGCTAGAGCAGTATCGCTGCACATGGGAGGGTCTCGATGGCGGCGTGGGCGGTCGTGTGCGGGTCTCGTTCCTTTCTCTTCCATTCCCAGCAGCGTTAGCAGTCGGAAACTTCCATGGGGCCTTGCTTCTTCCTCGGGGCCTGGGCTGTCCAGTCGGAAGCACCAATGCGAAGCGTCAACAGCGCTGCTTCCATGGGTTCGTATGTAATTCGTCGTTCGCACCTCGCAGTGTTCCTGACGTTGCTGAACTGGGCGTACTAAGTTACCCCTGTTGGGACAAGCGTGGTTCCTTTTCTGCGGTTGCTTTCCTGCAGGTGCTGCCCTGCGGTGCCTGGCATGAAAGTTGAAACTGCCAGGATGATTGGACCCGAAGAATGAACTTACCCTTAAGACACTGGGGCCCCCGGGTCCTTCCAAGCATTGGCCAGCAAGTGGAAGGGGGCTTGGCAGGGAAGTTGGTGCACGAAAAGCGGAGCTGCGTCAAGGAAAGAAACAGTCCCGGCCCTGGCGCCTTCCACCTTAGGTTTCCACCTTAGGTGCTTAGGTACCTTCTGTTACGATGGGAAGGTACGAATTCCAAAGTATCCGTAAACAAATTTGAAGAAAGGAAGCAGGTGCCAGGTACAAACAATTCTCTGCTGCCTCCTTCCTTCCTTCCAAGTCCCTTCGCAGGTCCAACGGCTTGCACAGGTATCCGTACTGGGCAAGCACGGGCACCGACACCTTCGAGAGAAAACCGCACTCGCACGGTGGTGGAGTCTTGGGACGTTCACGCAAATCTCGGCAATTCATCAGCCTTCCGCATGCAGAACCCTGACCTGCCTGGCTACCCTCCCAGGACATCTCGACCGCCTCTTGTTCCATTTGTGGACGCACCGCGGGAATCCGCTACTGATCGAGCAGAAGGCCGTCGAATCTCCATTTAAGACGAACCCATCCCACCACGGTTAAGCTTCATCACAACCTCGCTGATGGATTTGTAGCTGTGGAGATATTGGCCTCGGACTCTTCATCTACTGGCCTACTTTGGCAATGATCTGAAGCTTTCCTCCGATTTCAAGGGACAGTCTCAGTCGACCCTCTCAAGTTCTAGCGGCCTATTATTAAGGCATCCGTGTGAACTCCCAGACCGTTGGATGCGGGCGGGGCACCAGCACGCCGTACTGAATCAGCGATCGAACAACCGACCCAAACTTGCCAAATTCCTCGCGGTTTCTGGAATGTTGGTACTGCTTAGTCGAGCACGAACATCGGCGCGTCCATCTCATGACAATATATTACGGGGTTGCGCTTCCAGCCTTTCTTCAGCTATGCCATTCGTCGGATGCACTGTGTTGCATTTCACCCTGGGCTGAATTTGCCTGTAACGCGCCTAGGCCGATAGGAGCCAGAATGAGAGAACGACTCGGAAGATGGGATGCCAATGGCACCTCAGTACTCCCACTCCCGCTGCCACTCTGTTGCGCGCCGACGCGTCTCTCCCACCAGTCTCCCGACCTCACGGCTCCCCGTCTGTAGTGACGCCATGCATCTTTAACTTGACACAGGCATTGCCCGGTATATTCTTACTACAGGTCAGATATATCGCGCTCGTCTATCTAACAAAATTTTCTCTCCTGCTTTGCATTGACTCTAGTCGCCGAACCAATCTCGACGCCAACCATCACATCGCAAATCTTGGGTGAATCCAGCGATCCGTCGTAACCTCAAACCAGCGGCATCCTTGCCACGCTCAAACTACTGGACCATGCCTTCCCATGGACGGGACGGGCATCCCGAGCGCGGGGGAACTTGCGGAAGAATCTGGCACTGGCAAGCCGCGAACCTATTCTCCACACTACCTTATGCTCATAGTCTGCAACTTCAATGAGAGGAGGTTCGTGATTATCGATGAAAGGCTTTTCCCAATCTCATTTACGATGGCATAAGTCAATAGCTTCGAATGTTAAATCTCCTGCCCAACGCACCGGTCGACAAGGCGTTGCGCCCGGATCTCGTCGCCTATCTCGATCGGTCTTGGGGTTTTAGGGCTCTGTCCCTTTCCAATCAAAGAAATGACATATTCCCCGAGAGCCCTACTCGGCCACCGCGCCGGCGGCAACCTCTGGTAATGACTAGGAAGTCACAAAGGTCTAGGCATTCGTCGTGTGGCCTGTTGTGGCGTGCTTGATGCTTCTGCTCCGCATATTTGGGATGCTGGAATGTCTCCAGATGATGTTCCCGAGGGCCTGGGCCCGGTCCCTTTCTATGTCTCAGACCCCGTCCAGCAATGCGTCTGATAACAGCCGCCTTGTCGCGAACAGCATGAATATCCACAAGTGGGTGGCATCATGTCTGACTTGACCATGTTATGCAAAGAAGCAAATCGACGACATGCCATGTTCCAACTCCCTCAATTGTGACACGGGTAAGCGCGCGTGCCTTTGTTTTTTCTATCTTGTAGTCTTAAAATGTCCGGATATATACCCAATAGTCTATGCTTTTTTCTGTATCTTTTCGCCAGCCCTCAACGCAAATTCCAGTGATCCTCCCGTATGGCTGACCACGTATAAACAGTCCACAATGCTTTTAGTCGACAACCCATGTGCCTCTTCATATCCCATCTTGCCGGTGGGCAATGTGACACGCTGATCTAGCCCTCAGTGAACGCCTCGCTTCTAGCCTGCGCAGTGGAGGCATCCTCATTGCCGTTGTCCTTGGTCGTGGGACGGTTGGCGATGAGGCGCTGTGAAAAGTCAGGGATGTGGTTTCTGGTTCGCCGTGTTCATTTAGTTCACTTACCACCAAGTTTCTCAAAAGGCACGCAATGGTGACCTTGCCAACTGACGGGACGTAGATGGCCGCCTTCTCCTTGACGGTGGGCGCGTCAAAGTTGCGGTGGGAGGAGAAGTTGATGCAGACGGCACCCTCGCGAATGAGGTCGGTCGAGATCTTGTACTTTTCGCTGGGGACGCCGCCGATGATGACGTCGCTGAGGGGGAGGACCTGCTCCAGGCCCCAGCCCTCCTTGTTCTCGACCTGGTGGCGGATCTGCTTGATGCCCTTGCCGCGAGTGAAGAGCTGGACGCCGGTGATGTCGACCGAGTAGACGGTGGCGCCGTCGTTGGCGAGCAGGGCGGCCAGGGGTCGGCCGTTGACTTCGGACCTGTTGATGACGGTGATTGTCTTGCCAAAGAGGCGGTTGCCGTAGGCCAGGATGGGGTTGTAGATCTGGAGGTGCTCGAGGATCTTGACGACGGCGAGGGGCGTGCAGGGGAGGATGGACTTTCTCAGGTTGTGGGGCGGGTCCAGGAAGCGGACGTTGTGGTACATGTTGAAGATATGCTGGTGGCAGAGGCCCTCGACGTCCTTTGCCAGGGAGACTGTCTCCTGGATGTACTTGTCCTGGAGCGGGTTGCCGGGGAAGATGGGGTAGTAGACGATGATGCCGTCGACCTTGTCATCCTCGTTGGCCTCGGTGATCTTTTCCTCGAGCTGCTCCTTGTCGACACGGCGCAGGTCAAAATCGAAGCCGCTGGAAAGGGGGGTGAACACCGTCTCGTCAGCTACCTTTTGCATCCAATTTTTGCTCATTTTTTAGACACGTCTTGTCACACAAAGACAACTTGTCTTTGCAGCGACAAAGGGTTTGTTTTTCGCCTACTTTTCGACGCAGGTCTTCTTAGACCACTCAGCATACTGCAATGCAGCCGGATCGTCGTTTGCCAGGAACGCCGCCAAGGTCGGCTTGGAGGCGCCGTTGCCCTGCACCTTGGCGAGGGTCTCGTGAACCTCAGTCAGGAGACGCTTGGCGATGGTGTCGGCCAGAATGACCTTGCAGGTCTTGGGCACAGCTTCGTTGGAGGCCATCTTTTATGAAAGGGAGGCAAACTCCAGTTTTGATACACGCGGCTTGACAGCATTGTTAGTCGGGTCTCTCAGTCTCGGCTGATAAGAACTGTCACTCACATATGTGGTTGGAGTGAGTTGCCCGTCGGCTTCTATCCCCGAATTAGTACTTGGGAAAGCCCCACCACCTCCGACCCCGCGATGCCGCGTTGTAGAGCATATCGGGAGTGGAGGAGAGAAGACTAACTGGCAAAGACAGCCAATATATCGGCGCTTATAGGAGTGGCAGTTGATCAGGATTCGAAATCCGAATTTTGACGCGTTATTGGGGCAGTGAAAGTGAAGAAAGGTTAATCAAGTGAAGCTGAATGGCTCCGAGTCTTTTGGAGGGCCACGCTCCGACTTCGACGTCCAAATTTTTTTTTTCTCCGTTCGCTGGAACAGGACCCCGCGGCCCTTGCGCAGTCCCGTCTGTGTTACCCCTCCATACCCTCTTACCCAATTAAGACTAGTTCGCTACCGCTCCCATCTGTTGCAATTCCGTTCCAGGCTGAAAGCATTGACAGAGAGCAGATCGCAGCGACTAAACAGCTCAAGAATAATCCCATGTGTAAAGCTTTTCCTCAAAGCAAGCCAGTTTATGACCAGAGACAACAAATGTCTTGAAACGGCGAACCAGTAAAGATAAGTTGATGATTGACGCTAAGCCCGAAAAGGTCTATCCACCGGAAATTGGTTCCTCCATACCGCGATAACGACGATAAGTGCTACACCGCCTTCTCGATTGAGATATCCCCCACCAACAACCCAGCAAGCCTGAGTAATTATCTCACAACTCATCACCGGCTTTCGGTGGTATGAAGCCCAGTATCGGCAACTGACAAATACCCAGCGGACTATTCGCCAAACCACCATTTTCCCCCAATCTAAAGCGACTACCACGTTCATGAAATTGGATATCTAGACAAGCAATTTGCATGAGAGGAGCACGTCTTGCCTCTCTTTCACTCTTTCGGGACGCATTTTGAGCAGGCGCGGGGTCAACTTTGGAAGCACATGAGAAGGAATGACGGAATATCTCACAACTTCTTACCACAACACCTTTCCGATTGCATCTAGACAATATCAGCTTGGCATTCACCCATCTTCACACTACGCGGAGTGGACTTCGATACAGCAACATACATTGGGCAATCGAAACTACCATTAGACGCTTTTGATTTCATCGCAATTCACGACTATCATGGCTGATTTTCGGAAACTTGCACTCGAGTTCGTGCTCAGCGACGATACTGAGAGACAAACAGCAATCACACAGGAGGCAGCTTCGGGTATGTATATGGCCATTCCTACCCTTTCACCAACCATGCAAACAGCTGACATGACCCCAGAGATCCAGTCAGCACCCAGACCTAGCAATCCAGTTGCAAGATGGGTAGAATCTATTCGACCCTGGATGCCCAGCGCAAATGAAGACCAGGATGACGGCGATGGTGATGTCATTGCACGGTCCAAAGGTACAGGAGTAAAGACCGTATTGGAATAAAGACGATTACTGACTATGACACCTTCTTTAGCTTTGAGTTTTCTAGCAGGGACTCTTGAGCATCTGGATCCCGCATTCCTCAAAGCCGATCAAAGTAAGTAAGGCCGAAGGCATGTGTACTCGAAGGCTCATTGCTGACGCCGCATTCTCAGCCAACCTCCTGGTGGCTTTTTTTGGAAGCATGTTCAAGGTCGACCACAAGGCTGGCATTATGCCCGCTGCGAAGGCTCTTGATCGAACTGCTGGTATGAAGACTTTCCAGCCACAAAAGGGAAACGACATTATCCAGAGTGTGTGCAGCCTTGGTGATGATTTCAAATCCCAGGTCGCAGAAACCCGTGCAACAGTATATGAACTTCTGGACCATCTTATCACCAACCCGGATGTAGCAAACGACTTGCAGTACCAACACGGCACAGCCTCGGGATTCATCACGGATCTTTTGCAACTATGTCGCAATGAGCGAGACCCCAAGTGTCTGATGACTTGGTTCAAGATTCTGAAGGTCTTTCTTTCAGACTATTCCCCTGCACCGGAGGTCGTGGATGAAATTTTCAGTATCTTTTCAGCATACTTCCCCATATCGTTGAGGACATCACAGCATCCTTCGGGAATCACAGCGGATGATCTCAAATTGGCCTTGAGGGCTTGCTTTTCGGCACATCATCGTGTCGCTGACAAGGCTATTCCATACCTCCTTAGCAGGCTAGACCAGCCGGACAGTGTCAGTGTCAACGTCAAGGTTTGTGTTCTTCCTTGGACTATGTCAATAATACCTGTGCTGACACTGCTGTAGGTTGACATCCTCAAGACCATGACCGCATGTCTGAGCGGCTATGAGCATGTTCAGCAAGGAGTCACCCCCTTTACCAACAAGATTTGGGACAGTCTCAAGTATGAAGTCCGCAATGGGGAGATCGAGGACACCATCAATGCCACCTTGGAAGTCATTCGAACAGTCGCCCAAAGACTTACCGGTGACGAGCTCAGGGATTTTGCCCTAACTGTTCAGAGAGACTGCTTGGAGGACCTGTCAAACCCGATCTACACGGCAGCCTCAGGAAAGCTTTTGATCTCCATCCACAGCGCAAAGCCAGCTGCCTTTGCACTCATGATCTCCCCGTCTGTGACCCATATCAAGGAGAATCTCCGCCACACAAAGTCACCTGACCACACGAAGAATCTCCTGATTCTCCTGAATTCTCTACTCGAGTTGCGGTTAGCCCTAATTGGAGGAGGCGTGGAGCTGAGTGTCGAGGACGCCGAGGCCTTCAAATCTACCGAGCCGCTACTTGCCCCCATCTACAAGCAGACGTACCTGCCTCTTTTCCAAAAAGCTCTACAAGATACTGCGCAACCCGAAGATATCACCATCGGTCAACAGGCAACCAAAGGTCTGGGGTTGATGGTATGTCAGAGAGCAGCTCAAATTGGACAGTCGAACCAGCCGATGCTTCCAGAAGAAACACTAAACGAAATTTGCGACAACTTAGCAACTCTTGCGCTTCAAGCCCCTGGCGAACCGGCGAAGGACAAGAATCAACTCAAGATATCCGACGAGGCTGCTATTGCTTTACAAAAGGCTACGATGGCACACCCGCCGGCGCAACCCATGCTCATCGACACATGCTTCCGAGTCTGTGACGCGTACAGTGCTTCCCCTTCGGCCAACAACTTGGACAGCATGCACAATGTTCTCAAGCACAATCTCGCTAGACTGACCTACGTCTTTTGCTCCGAATCTCCTCGCTCTGAGAAGCTCAAACACTACACATACTTCATGCAAGCGCTTCTGGTTAACCTCTACAAGATGCAGGACGCCAAAGCTGACCCGAAGATTTGGTCGGTCATTGCTACTTACATATTCTCGGCCATGATTCAGTTCAAGGAAGGAGCCAAAGAACTCATCAACTTGCCCGTCAAAAACAACTTCAGCGACACGCGATTCGACGACAACTGGGTTAGCTACGTGGCAAACCGTTTCCCTAATCTGCCACGCCTCCCTGACGACCAGATCGTCTCGACGTCAGGGACGGACGAGAGCAAGGAAGTTGACAATCTTCAAGGCGATTTCGCCTTGATCAATCTGTACGTCACTCGACAGCTCTACAGACGGGCCACCAAGATCATCAGTTATGCCGACAATTCCGAGCTTTCACTTGCCTTGAGCGACGACTTTGGCAAGAAGGATCCGGAAGACAAGAATGAAGAGGATGCCTACTTGCACCGCCTCTCGAATATTGCGATGTTCACTATCCAGCACATGAGCGAATACCAGCAGACCAACCTGCTTCTGAACGAAGAAGTCGTAACACTCTTCCGTGGAACCGACCAGTATCGCCATCCTAATCCCACCGAGACCCACAGCTGGAACAATAGTGAGTTGCGAGCGGCCATGCTGCGGACCATGGGTCTTCCGCAGACTCCTTACAACATGAGAGATCCTCCCCAGTTCCCCATCAGTGGTTTCAGCCACGGCCGTACTGTCATCCTCTCCTTGGGCATTATTCAAGCTTTCCATCCAACCACAGTCGAACGTTTGGTAAGATAACCGTTGCATCAAGACCAGGGAAGCTTTGCTAACACTCTGTTCTAGGTTGAAAGAGGAACCGCACACCAGATCTTGATTGCTGGCCTTCTCACCAGAGACCACTCAGACTCACCAAAGTGCCGGCAAGTCGTTACGGCTATTCTGTGCGTCATCGCCAACAAATACAAGGTTGAGAATTTGAACGATATCGTCCAGATTATGGAATATCAAATGAACTTCGTTGTCAGCGAAGAGAGACTGTCTGACCAGCTGGAGCAAATCACTGGCTACCTCGACCATGAGGAGAATGTGGTGGCTGGAAACAGCCCCAACGACCTCAGAGCAGCTCTGGCAAGGCCTGTATACGCGATTGTAGTCGGCATTCTCCGACGCTACACTGGTAACGCTCTCAAGAATGTTCTCACGGCTATAACTCAAGGTCCTGGTAATAAGAAGATTGGCCACACACTTGCTCGCAGCATGGATTTCATCTTCAGTGACCTGGACTTCGCAAAGCCCGAGTTCTACGGCCAGCTTAAAAAGCTCTGGGTGCAGAGGGCCTACTACGAGTTGGTCAAGCCCATGCTGCCCAAGGCTTGGCCTGCCGGCTCGAACAGCAAGGATGACATGCTTGTTGCGGCCAATTATAGCATTGCAGTCTTGAGAGCAGTCAGGCACATCAAGTACGCGCACTACGAGGACGACACGGAGGATCTTATCCGAATCATTCTCTGCGCGATCCGCAATCTGCCGGCTAGCGCAGATGTAGCAGCCGGTCTCCAGATCTTGGTGGCCGTCACGGAGAACTCACCCAGACGCATGCAACCATTCCTCAAGAGCATCATTGATGCCTCCCTGTCGATCTTTAGAAGAGACACGACGCAAGCCGGCGAAGACAACACCTGGATGCCGGAGAATTACGTACCCTTTGACCGTTCCGGATTCCAGGAGGCGCAATGCCGGGCCTTGGTCGTTCGTCTCATCGGACAACTGCCGCCCAACTTTGAGCATCGCCATCTCCTCGACTCGGCGTCCCAGGCCAAGCGCTTGTTGGCTCAGGCCTCTGGAGACGAGTCGCGAATGGTCAGAGAGGCTGCCCTCAAGTCTCGTAAGGCTTGGGACGAGGTCAACTGACGTATGTTGACTTTCAGAGCTTGAAGTAGTTTCGAAAGAATGAGTTGAACACGAGGTGATGGCTTTGCACTTTTGGCATGGATCAGTCGAGTTTGAATTGGCTTTGATCGAGGCACGAAAGTGATGGTTTGTTGGTATAGGAGGGCAGCGACCCATGTGTTGGAACAGAGAGTGGGAGACGAGGTATTTGGCGGACTTGCATGATGGTGAGGGTCGGTGGCATGGCGAGGCGTTTGGAGGTCCAATGGATCATCAGTATTAGACGACCAGCATCCAGTTTAATGAGATAAAAATCACACAAGGCATTGCAATGATTTCACCAGAGACACTTTGGTTGCTGCGCATGAATGCTGTCCAGAGCATAAGCCGACCGAGGAATGGAGCGAATAATGATAATTATCACCAAGGCATAGATGGTGCGATTGTAGCACTTTGAAGCAATATACTAAGCAAAAACACAGACACCATGCTTTTGACGGTTCCAATTATCCGTAATTTACACAAAAAAGTTTATTGGCAAGCCCCATACGGCAACAAGTCCAAACCACCTCCAGTCCGGCCCTGTCTATGCCTTGCGTCTCTTGCTGCCACCCTTGGCCGCCTCCGCGCCGCTCCCCGTCGCCGTGCTCTCCGCGTACAGCGCGTCGAGGACGTCAGTCGAGTATCCCTGGGAGGTGGATGTGATACGCTTGGGGTCAAGCTTGCCGACGGCGGGGATGTTGGTAGCGAGGATCTCCTGGAAGGGAACCGCGACGAAGCGGCCTTGTGAGTCGAACCACTGGTTGAAGGGTTGTGAGAGGTTGATGACTTTGTTTTCGCCGTTCTTCGAGGTCAGGGTGATCTTCATGTTGTAGGTCGGTACGTTCTTCTTTGTGGATGTCGCGATGTTGACCTGTTTCGCGGGCGTGTAAGTCAAGGTTTGTCCATATCCTGGGAGCACATGCAGCTAGCTGCTGAGAGGGCACGAAAGAAAGCAAAGAGGCCTTACCTTCTCGCCTGAGGGTGTTGTGCCCTCATACACGGTGCCTGCCTCCTTCAACCAGATCCATAGCGTAAGAGCGCCATTGAGGATCGAGTAGAGGACCACGGCGGCGGCCGTGTAGTACTTTGTGCTGTCGAAGCCGAGCTTATAATCCCAAAGGAAACATGCGCCCGCAATCAAAAATGCTGAGTAGCCGAGCGCGAGGCGGACATCGGTGAGCGCGTGGGACTGGGTGAATTTGAGAGAGTTGAGGTAGTTGGGGAGAGCATCGTCCGAGGTATTCTTCAGGTCTGGGGGGAGGAGCTTGTGTTAGTGTGATGCGATAGCTAGGCCTAGCGCAGGGCCATAGGAGGGTGAAGGGAAGTGCATACCGGCCAGATTATGGACCGTAATTTTTTCGGAAGACATTTTGTCTACTTCAGTTTTCGGGATTCTTCTTTCGAGTAGACTTGACAGCTATGCGTGAGGCGGGCAGGCGTGGAGTTGTGATAGTTTGGCTTGTAACCTCCAGCCTGGCTTTCGGAGCTAGGAGTCTAGGACAGCTTGGACCCTTGTGCGCAGTCCCGTCCGTGGGCAGAGGTGAAAGTGGAAGGTGGTCTTTCGGAAGCTCGGCGAAACAAGCACCCGAGGAAGCTCCCACTCGATACAGACATCCAACTCCACCAGATTACACTGATGCAGGCGGAGCTCTCAACCACCTGGCTGCATCGCAACGACGAGCGCCGTTACCGTCTCTAATACACCATTGCCCGGCTCTAATCGTCACATACAAGCCCAGAATGGCCCAAGTTCCGGTGCAGACGATCCATCGGGATCCCCAGCTCCTGTACGCAAAGTCCCGCCTTGCCCGTCCTCAGTTGCAACCGCGTATGCTGACCTGACAAACCCGACAGTTACTGGATCCTATTCCCGATCACGGTGGTCATGGTCTTGACCGGCATCCTGCGTCACTACGCCACGGTCCTGCTCGCCACCGCACCCAAGAAGCTCGACAAGCCCGCGCTCAAGGAGCAGCGCAGCCTGATGCATGGCGTCACGGTCCGCACCAACCACCACGTCCTGTCCAAGAAGTCCTTTGAGGCCCGCCGCGATGCGCTCGTCGCGGCGTACGAGTCCGGCGCGTACTTGAAGAACCCGGATCAGAAGGGCCAGCCGCCCGCGAATCCGCTTACCGACCCTGGCGCGATGGACGGGATGATGGGGATGATGAAGAATAACATGGCCATGATTATTCCCAACACGTTGATCATGAGCTGGATCAACGCCTTCTTCAGCGGATACGTCATTAGTATGTTTTGCATGATCAACATCAGGACCTTGTGCAGCTGCTGACTGTCTTAGTGAAACTACCCTTCCCTATCACCATCAAGTTCAAGAGCATGCTTCAGGCGGGTGTGGCGACCAAGGACATGGATCCCCGCTGGATGTCCAGTATCTCCTGGTACTTCCTCTGCATCTTTGGTCTGCAGTCTGTCTTCGTTTTCATCTTGGGAAGCGACAACGGTAAGTCTGAAACTATCTTGGCCTTGCCCTTCCAGCATACTGACATCATTAAGCTGCCAGCCAGATGGCCCAGCAAATGGGGCAGATGGGAGGTGCCGCTGGTGCCCCTCAGATGTTTGGACCCGGTGTCGACCCCGACAAGCAGTTCAAGGGCGAGGCGGAGAACATTGCCGTCGTCGACCACTACTCTGTTTTGGATGATGTGGAGTCAAGACTGCTTGCGGGTATCAAGTCATAGAATTGTAGAACAATACACAAAATCCGCGCCCATCCGTACGCCTCGGGGCCCTTTCCATGTCTGAATAACGCTTGTGAGATTTCAGGAGCCACCTAAAGGCTATTCGCCGCCCTGTCCGTCCCACCAGAGGCATACGCCGAGACCCTCCATGGCCATGGTGCCCTTCACCTTGTACGGCGGCTTTGGCGGAGCAGCCTCTTCGCCCTGGCTTGGTCCTGCAGGTGTCTGGTCGTGCCACTCTTCATCGATGACCTGGAATCTGACCATTTCGTGATTATCATAGAAGAGTCTGTCGTCCTCAATGTTCCAGATCCATAGCTGCTCTGAGTGGTTGCTAGAGTCGTGTTAGTGACGCATCAAGGTGACAAGGCAGGTCTGGCGGCACGTACAACTCGGCACCTTCGGGAAGCTCATCAAAGGGGATGAAGATATCGTCAAAGAAGTCGGTTCTCAGGTTGATGCCGGCCGGCGTCGAACTTCTAATTCTTCCTATCATGACTTCGCCCTTGAAGGGTCTGAAGACGATGAGTCTGAATTCCACTGCCGCATTTGTTAAAGATGATAAAAAAAAAAGTCTGATGGGCTTGAGCTCGTGGAATTACCATTGACGTTGACGAGGCCTGTGCCATGGCCGATGAGGCCCTCAGAGGTCCACAAAAGATCGTAGAGGCAGATGCAAAGACCAATTTTCTGTATGACCTTGTTGGCGTACTTCGCATTGATGTTGTCCTCAATGGCGGCTTTGCTCTTCTTGCGGAAGTCTTCTGGTGCGATTTCGACCAGATCCGCAATCTTGGTCTTGATTGGGTCCTTTGTGTTAGTGACACACTCAGGTGAAATTTGTGAGTTTTCGAGTCTTACTAGGATGAACATGTTGAGCGCTTTGTCTTCGAGACGGCGGATTGTAGACCAGAAAGATCCCGGGTAAATATATTATTGATCCGGTATCATCGTCCGTCCCCTCAACGCCTCTGGAGGGTCGTGTTTGGGTCTTTCGAGTCGTGGTTCAGTGTATTGTACCGGCGCTCAGTGAGATCGCAAAATCGGCAAAATCGCGGGGCGCTTTGGTCTTGGGAAGCAGATTGACTCTTACCGCCCTCTACGTTGAGTTTAGCCTTAGCGGTTGCAGGGTGCATGTGTATCCCTATGGCCCACCACGCTTTAGTGGCTCGAGGTCTGTCCAGGCGGCGCGCCTCTGTCGCAACCCGCTGGAATTGTTATTGCGGGACCCGAAATGACTGTAGGGCGACTCCGAAAGCTCAAGTCCTAGGGGCTCCACGCACTCGCCTCACCTTCGCGTCAGGTCAGGGAAACTGCGTCCAGCCGTCTCTTCCATCCTAGAGCCTTTCGCTTCCCTTCCTTCATCAACTCAATCTTTACAGGTCGGCCGCCTTTCTTCTTTTCTCCAACTGGTGCTCTCTGCATAGAACACGCTACTTTCGAAAAGGCAATACTGCTTTCTGCTACGTTGATCGAATTTTGAACCATCCCTGCTACTCTTGCAAATAAAGATTGGTGCACAAATCGTCAAGGTCGTTGCAATCGAACACTGCGTTTCCTGCACCTTTTCACGGTTCCTTTCTTCAAAACCCCCGAACGCTCTTTAGCAACTCGACTGCGAAGATAGTAAGAACGCGTCGTCGTCCTCGAGCCAACATGTCGGGCTACAACTACGGTCCCCCACCACCCCCGCCTCCGGCTGCCCAGGCTAGCCATCCTGGATATGGGCACCACGGCGGCGCTTACCAACAGCATTCACGAGGCGGAGGTGCTCATGCTGCCCGTGGCGGGCGTGCTGGTTATCCATCAAATGGTCGCCCAGAGTACCCCCCGGCCCATCAGCCTCAGTACGAATATCCCCGCCAGCAGCCATACCCTCAACATAGCCCAGGATATCCCGCCCAGCAGCAACAACCTGCTGGCAGCAATTACCCTCCTCAGCAGCAGTGGCATCAAGACCACGGACATGGCGCCGCCCAGCATGGCGCTCACGCTCCTACGCCTCTGTCGACTTCCAACTACCATCCGAACTACGCCCCCCAGGTCTACGCTCATCCTCAACACCCACAACATCCTCAGCCGCCATCTCACCAGCCAGCCTACGGGCCACAGCAGCCGCAACAACCACAGCAGCAACCCTACGCCCAACCGTATCCCGCTCCTGCACCGTATACCGCTGGCCAGCCGTGGGCTGGACACGACCCCCATGCTCAAGGTCCCTACGGCGCTGGTCGCGGCCGAGGCGGTTACGGAAACGATCGAGGCGGCTCCCGAGGTCCTAACATGGCCACGCCTGCTCCAGGAGCCTACGGTGGTGAAGGAGTTCACCATCAAGCGAATGGTGGATATGGTCAGCCGTATGCCGATCCACGCGCGCAATCCGTCCAATACCAAGCTCCACCTCAATATCCATATCATGCCCCTCCTCCGGCACCTCACGCAGCGATTCCTCCACAGGAGCCGTACTACAAACATGATGGACAGGCCGGTCGAGGTCGTGGTGGTCATCGTGGTGGCAACCCACGTGGCCGTGGCTCGTTTCACGGCAACGACAGGGGTCGTCATCGTCAACAGGGCAACAACAATCACAATCACAATCATAACAACCGACAAGACGGTGGATTCCACCACAAGCATGATAAGCACGACAATGCTGCCTCGGGTAAGAAGAAGAAGCGTAAGACTAACACCCTTGGTCTTACACCTGGCCAAGACTCGGAGTCGGAAGACGATGAGATGGAAGAGGAGACGCTTCGCAAGTTGATAGGAGCAGATGCACTACAGTAAGTCGGATGGCCATGTCAGATTTTGCTCTATCTAACCGTCTCGTAGGGTGACTGATGTCGCTTCATACATTGCCGAGCGGAAGAAGCGCTTCCCCACGGCTGCGCGTGTCAAGGCCAAGAAGTCTGCCGAGACCACGCAAGGAAGTGGCAATAAGATCCATTCCAGTCTGGAGAAGGAGGAGAATCTCGCCAGCAAGCTCAGGAGACAACTGGAAAAGGTTGAATCGTCTATCAAGCGCAAGCGTGAACAGCAAGACGAGGGCGATGAGATGAGAGACAGCCCCTCCATTGACATCAAGTCTGAAGACGATGAGCCAGAAGTCGCGTCAAGTCGTGTTCAGCCGGCCCCCCCTCCACCCCCTCCTGCAAAAAAAGCAGACATTTCAAAGCATTGCAAGTACTACTCTACGGGAGGTACTTGCGGCAAGAAGGGCAAGTGCCGCTTCGTACATGATCCTGCTGTTAGGGAGGCAGCCATGAAGGAGAGAGAGATGAACAATGGCCACCTCACCATCCAGCAGCGCTTGATCTTGAACGACAAGGACCAAGAGGACCTTACTGTTCTTCAATCAATTCAATATCTGCGGGAGAAAGGCCTGATGAAGCCTGAAGATCAGCCTAATGGCACCAACGGGCACACTGGGTCACAGACCTCCCATTCTCAGTCCCGCCAGCACCCCAGCAGTCTCCCTGCGGCACCTGCTTCTCTCCCAGCGCCGCCTATGAAGCATCACGGGCTTCCTCCCCACAAACCGCCTCCTTCTGCAGGCGGATCTACGGTTCGATACAAAGGCTGGAACTTGAGTGGATATGGGAACTCAGGTCTCAAGTCCGAAGATCTCCCTTAGATGGCTACCATCAACGGCCAAAGCCGGAGTCTTACCCAAATACTCCAACTCTGCACTGCTTCCGCTTGAAGTGTGCTTCGGTTCTTTTTTGAGCGGTCTGCCTGAGTATGGCGACCTCGAATCATGCAACAGGTCTCTCGCTATGGCAGAGAAGTCGTCCTGACGCAGCGATTCGAACTAGCAGCGATGTTCATGTTTCATATCTGATCGAATTTTAAGCCACATCAAAGAGATTGGGCGTGGAAAGAGCATGGTTAGGAGGATCATATCACCAATTTTATGCCAGCCCCCGTTTCCTTGATTTTCACCGCACTCAGACGACTCCAGCTTTGACATCTCGGTTTCTTTGTTTGCGTCGGTTACCTTCCAGGGCTTCATCTGCAAAGTTGCGATCCCAGATCGCGTGTAAGATCGTTTTATCAATTCAAAGGGGACGAGGCTGGAGACACGACGGCATGGCGCACCTTCTATTTACCAGTCTGATGAGTTCAAAACCGTCGGAGTTTCCGGCTTGAGGAAAGGGGCTGAGTAGCTCCATGAAATGGCTTTGAGTTATTCGCTTCGGAACTTTCCAGAGGAGTTTAGGACTGACTGTAGTCCGGTTTGGCTGTACCTGATACCTCAAGGAGGGCTTTGCATCGGGATTATAGAACGGAAAACTGCAATGGGTTCACATTTCGGTGTCTTGGTGCAAATTGAATTTTAGTCAATAAAGAATAAATCTTACGTCTTGGAAACCTCGGTTCGTGGTGATTCAACGAAAGTTTTACGTGATTATGCTGTAAAGGTCTTGTCTATGGACCTGCCAAGTCTCGCTTCTCGTGGGTTACAGAAGGGACTTGGTTGCCATGTTGAGATAAAAACTTTCAGTTTTGGCCAGTCAACAAATACAGACGTAATAACATTAGGCTAGTACTTGATGGTGGCCGAGGTATTATTGAGCCGTGGCACGTATCTACCTGTTCCCTGTGTGATGATTTACGAAAAGAGGCCAAAAGAGACTGGCCGTGGAGTGTAGTAATATCCCATAATAATAATGACAAATCAAACTTGAAGTTCAGAATGAACGCCTTCGCTAATGTGATGCTGAGCCGCGCCTGTACCGGTGCAAATACCTCAGTAGTGCCAGATCCAAAATCCCTATTGATAAAAGATGATGGGAGAAATTGGGTGATGGGGATGATTGAGGAAAAGAAAATCTAGCGTCGTCGCTGCTCTTCGTAGAATCTGCGCTTGCGCTCCTCCTTTTCGGCCTTGAGACGCTTCTCGAGCCGCTCCTGTTCGATATCCTCGCGGCGGGCCGCGCGCTCAGCCGCCGCCTCCTCGTCCCACACGTCATCCATGCCGGCCTCCATGTCTGAAGACCCATCAGAGTCGTAGTGGTACCGGGGGCCGCGATCGTCTTCCTCGTCTTCGTCGTACTCGATAAAGTCGTCGAATTCCTCCTCCTCTTCCTCGTCGTAACGTGAGCGTTTCGCGGAGCCGCCGTACCGCGGGGCGGGTCGGGAGTTGAGGAGAGCGCCTCCTGGTGCCGGCTTCTTCTTTGCCGAGGTAGCTCCGGGTTTCGGGCGGGCGGTGCCGGTATATCCTGTGGTAGCGACGGCGGCTTTCTTGAGCTTCTTTTGTTGCTCTTCGTCGGCGGCAGCCGCGCGTGCCCTTACGCCGGCCCTGGGGTCTCTCGCTCTGTCGGCAGTTCCGTTACGGCTGGCGCTTGATCCGATTGCACTGACCCCATTACGTGAAGGCGGAGCCGAAGACGGCCTTGAGGTACCCTGGAATTTCGACACTGGCCTCGCTGCGCCCTTAGGGTCCTTCTTGAAATCCTTCTTCATCTCCTCCCGCTCTTTCTTCGTAAACACCTTTTCCACCGGCTTGTGCTGAATCTTGCCGACTTGGCCCAGCTTGGTTTGGGCCTGTTGAGCCCGTGCCATGATCTCGGCGAAAGATCCCTTCTTTGGTGGTGCACCTTTCGGTGCCGCGGCAGGAGCTGACGGAGATGGTCGACTAGGCAGTGTCGATGTCACCCTAGACGTGCCCGAGCCATTCACCGGCCTGGCGCCGGAAGAGCTGGATTTCGCGGACGTCGTGCCATTTCCGACAGGCCTAGGCGCAGACGTGGATCGATCGGATGGTCGTCCGGCGCTGCCTCGATAGCCAGTGGTTGTTGTCGAAGACTTCTCCGCAGGCCGTGCGGGTCTCTGAGCATCTGCAGATCTGGGGGGTGCAGACGAGCTGGCACCGTTTGTGCTTGTTCGCGGAAGCTTGTTCGAGACGGTGCTGCGAAGGTCGTCGTCGGCTTTCCGTTTCGGGGGCGGGAGGGCTGGCCTCGATGGAGCTGGTGATGTGCTCTGTGACTTATCGCCACTTATTTGGGCGAGGAGATCTCCAATCTGTGAACCACCCGTCGTCAGCCCTGCCCCAGAAGTCGCTAAAACGTGTCGTCGCATCTCCAGAGCACTTACAGGCATGGTGACGGACTGCTAAAGCCAAATATCGTCAAGCAAGTGTCTATGTTGCTTGCAGCGGCCGTCAGGATGCATCAGGCGGACGCTTGAGTCATCAGTGTGGAAAGTACGAGAACTCAAGTTTCTGCGCTTCAGCGGCCCCCTCTCAAAAGACTGAACACGCGGGCGTGTCCGTCGGGTCTGGGAGACGAGAAATGTTAGAGAAAAAATGAGGAAAAATCGCGAAAAATAAGAAGGCGGTCGCGAAGCGCACAGCACAAACACCCGACGGTCGTTAAAATCGAAAGTTGGGTGTAGGGGACAAAAGGAAGTGGCGTTGGAGTCGGCAAGTTTATATATGTTGGCCTGGGGGGTGGAATCACTGGTACCGTCCTTCCAGTACCGTCCACCTATCTTAGGTTCCTTGGACTGTGGTCCAATCCGTTAGCCTATCCGGAAGCTGGAGTGGCTCCGATTCCGGTGGAGTGAGATCCACTGGGCCCTTGGCGCTGTGACGCTGGGCTCTCGGTCGATTTCTGTTGGTAGAATTTAGAAGGCTGTCAGTGGCCCACGGGCCGAGCAGATGTAGGGGGGTCTTGAGTGTGGCTGGAGAAGCCAGAGACAGGATAAGTGTGGCTTGTGAGGTTTTTAGTCGGCTATCCCAGCCACCGACCGCCCTCCCCGCCCTAAGGTAGGGTCCCGCACCCTCTGGCTCACAAAACGAAAAAAAAGTTCCATTTCCGACAACCATCCGAATCTCAACAACCACGCGAAAATCTCCCAAGACTCGAAGATTCAGTCTCCGCCCAACTTCGCGGTTAAATTGATTGACCTCTCGTGTTCTTTACGACAAACAGTGAGTTTTCCCCCTTCTTCTCTACGCTTGATCTCCATCTCGTCGCCAATCGTTCTTCATTATTTCGACGCCGGCGCAAAAAATAACGATCCCTCTTTTCTAACAATCGTTCGTCGCAGAAAATCATTCAAGATGAAGCACCTCGCCGCTTTCCTCCTCCTCGGCCTCGGTGGCAACACCTCCCCCTCTGCCAAGGATGTTAAGGCCGTCCTTGAGTCCGTCGGTATTGAGGCTGATGACGAGCGCCTGAACAAGCTCATCTCCGAGCTTGAGGGCAAGGACATCAACGAGGTTCGTTACGACTTTGATCGCGATAGGCGCAAAGGATGTAAATGCTAACAAGGTACACAGCTCATCGCTGAGGGCTCCAGCAAGCTTGCCTCTGTTCCCTCTGGTGGCGCTGGTGGTGCCGCCGCTGCTTCCGGCGGTGCTGCTGCCGGTGGTGCCGCTGAGGACGCCCCCAAGGAGGAGAAGGAGGAGGAGAAGGAGGAGTCCGACGAGGACATGGGATTCGGTCTCTTCGACTAAATACCCCTCTCACGCCCTCGCCTCATCGAAGAATATACGCAGCAATCGGCCGACGTTTTCACAAGTCATTGACATGGGGAAATCTCTCTTGGGTTGGGCTTCGGCACACGTTTGTGTAGGAACACCTGCTAGGTTCGGTCAAATAAAAAGCTCGCTGGTTCTTTGAACAATGTTGCCCGAAATGATTTATCGTGTGCTTTTCCCTGATTGACTAGTGAGTGAAACAAATGCATGTCAACTCGAGCTTTGAATGTTAGCGCTCTCATCATAATGCTACGAAGCTCAAAGTCCGCTTCATGTGGGGCAACATGTTCGCGACAAGATGCACGTAAATCGGGCGCAACCATTTTTGAAAACCTAAGACCGAAAGCTGTGACTGGTCTCGCTCGGTATATCTTAAGCGAAAAGATACCTTGCCGCCTTGCATGGGGATTACATCAACTTAAAGATGGAAGGTAGGCTGCAGGCATTAGAGACTTGTTGTGGCCTCAGGCAAGACTCAGCGTCTAGTCCCAAGCTCAAATTCCATGTGCCCAACGATGAATGTGTCTGTCGCCTTACGCTTTGCTGTTCAGCCCATCGTTGCTCCGACAACAACATCCCCCGGTCTTGATTTCTCATTGGCCGACCCCTGCTAGCCCCAAATACTGGGAACGTCCTCAATTGACAAGGAATCGACACATCCCTCCGACATACAAGATGCTAGTGACGCGCCGCATAAACTAATTTCTCCTCCATTTGCAATCTTTCGGATCATGGGCACATTTGACACGTAAAACAGTGTTCAATCGCCAAAATCAATCCCTTTCTTTCTGGCGGAAGGTGTTTGGCCGTCGAGACGTGGAGATTCGCGCCACTAATTCCCAGCCCCCCGTTGCGCAAAATTGGAACAACAAACTATCCCACCAGCTCGAAATGTCGACAGCCTCTCCCACGCCGCTGGGCACCGCCGGAACCGGCCTGTCACGAAAAACGTCCGTACGACAAGGCCTCAGGAGGCTGCCCTCTCGCCCACATCTCAATCGAAGCGAATCCAACCCTGTTCATGCGACCGCCGCTGCACCCGCGCTCTCAAAAAAGGCAGACTCACAGCAGTACGCCATGCACGATAGCTCCGATGATGAGATACCCGTGCCTATGAAGCTCAGTGCCCTCACCAAGGCACTTCTCAACGATGGAAGCGGCCCTGAACCGCAACGAGCAGCTTCACCGCCTAGAACACGTCGCCGCGTCAGTAACCTTGCCGCGTCTACGAGCTCTGCAACGGAGGAGAGAAGGTCCCTCCGATCGGGAAGTGCCCAAGCGTACGACACAAGGTCAACAAAACCCACGTCGCCGCTACAGAGCAGAGAGAATAGCCCTGTGCGGAAAAGAGTTGTGAGACTCAGCAATACGCCCAAAAGCCTTGGCCAGATGCGTCCCGCCAAGAGGAGGTCTACCTCGCTGTCCCGATCAACCAACCAACGTCCCCAATCTAGAAGTCGGCCAGAGAGCCGAAACCAATCCTCGGATGAGAAGAATGACCCGCCCCAAGATGTCAACACACCAGCCCAAGGTATTCGCGTCGTCCGGATTGCTGCTGGCTCGTCTGGCAATAGAAGTCGCCTCACCAACTCATCCAGTCATTCTAGGCGTTCAGGTTCCCACATGGAACAGGACCACCCGGAGGAGCCATTCACAGTAGCACGCCACGCCGCCGGTGTTAACCCTGGCAGTGTGTCCCGACAAGCCTCCAATGCTGGAAGAACCACCAAGGCTGAGGACAATCTCGCACTGCAGGGCTCAATGCGCGTCAAGCGAGTAGGCAAGATTCCTGGAAGCTTCTTGAGCGGCCCCGCTCGACGTGGGCGCAGAAGGCAGAGTGAGGAGGAGGCGGAGGCTAATGGCGATGGCGATGGCGAGGGTCTGATCTCGAGCCAATATCACGATGGACACGGCGCAGACATGGAGAACGACGTGGCATCATCCTTCTATGGCAACGGCAGACAAATGTCATCAGGCAGTCCAGTCGCATTGAGCGATCCTTCCAGAGCAACGCATCGCAGGCCTACGTCGTATGCTGAACCACCGGCCCCTTCTTCTGCGCGCCATTCTCCCCAGGAAAGAGACGAGCCAGAAGAGATTCATTACAGGTTGCCTGCGCCGCGCCCTCAAGTTCCCTCCTCCCACGATCAGGAGAATGAACCAGTGTCTATAGTACGAAGTACGAGGCCTACCGCCATCAAGCCTGCCGAAATGGTCATGGAAAAAGTAGTCAGGCGTTCTATAAACCCCGAGGCTGCTCAACAAAGACCCGCGGCATCTCCTGAGCGCAAGCCTCTGGCTTCCCTGGCCAACAACACTCCGCGCCGAGCCGCTCCTCCGCCTCCGCCTAAGATGTCTGTTCTTGATGCTGCCACCACATCCGCAGGCGCAGCGACAACTACTCAAGGCAAGCAAAGGCGAAATATCCTCCGTGTCAACGGAAAGTCCTACACAAGGCTCGACTGTCTGGGCCGGGGCGGTAGCGCTAAGGTCTACCGTGTTACTGCCGAAAACGGAGCAATGTTTGCACTGAAAAGAGTATCGCTGGAGAATGCGGACGAGTTGACCGTCCGGGGCTACAAGGGCGAAATCGACCTACTTGGTAAGCTGAGAGGCAATGAACGAGTCATCAACCTTTTCGACTACGAGATGAACAGTGAAAAGAAAATGCTCACTTTAGTAAGTCATCCTCCATTGGATCGTGATGGCATGGCTAACCCGTACTCAGCTTATGGAAATGGGCGAATTGGATCTCCACACCCTTCTCAGGAGTCGCCAAAATCCCGAATCGCCTAAATTTGATTCGGTCTTGGTCCGCTTCTACTGGAAAGAAATGCTGGAGTGCCTGCAATCAGTACACCAGTCCGAAATCGTGCACTCCGATCTCAAACCAGCCAATTTCGTTCTTGTCAAGGGTCGCTTGAAACTCATCGATTTCGGTATTGCCAATGCAATTCGAACAGATGAGACTGTCAACGTTCACCGTGAAACGCAAGTGGGCACACCGAATTACATGTCGCCCGAGTCGCTCCTAGATTCCAATGCGCCTCGAGGCGGCCGAGTTCCTGGACGACCCAAGCTGATGAAAGTTGGAAAGCCGAGCGATGTCTGGTCTCTCGGGTGTATTCTGTACCAACTGGTCTACGGAATGCCTCCCTTTGGTCACATCAGCAATCAAATGGCAAAGTGCCAAGCCATCATCAACTGGGACCACGACATTGAATTCCCGTCCAGGGCCATGGGTGGAGTTCCAGTACCTCCTTCTCTGCTGCGAACCTTGAGGCGGTGTCTCAACCGTGACGTCGACATGCGACCTTCATGTGAAGAACTCCTTCACGAGACCGATCCTTTCCTATACCCCAATGAGATGAGCGAAAAGGCGCTTCCCATTGACGAAGAGCTGCTTGGTAGAATCATCCAGAGCGTTGTCTCGAGGTGTCGAGAACGCATGCCGACAGATGCGGAGGCCATGTCTGTGTGGCCGTCGGCTTACTGGACCAGCGTCAAAAAAGCAACGAATCCTAGCAGGTGATGAAAGCGTATGAGCATTGTTGTTGGATCAGGCGTCATGGAGACATTACTTGGGTTTAATGATCATCGGAATATCCATAGCTCGGAGTTTCTTGGGCTGTTTGTTTTACTTCTTGTTCAACTGCTTCGTGCAGTCGTTTTCTTCCCCACCACTGTTTTCAATATTGATTCCCTAGGCTTCGGCCTTCCCCCATGATTGGGCACGTTTTTTCTGGAGACGCAGACCTAGACAATGCGTCTTATCAATTGTACTACAGCCTCTTGGCTTCAACATTTTCGGCGACCATCAAAGTCCCCAATCCCACATGACGTGAATGTATTTATTTGTCTATTGGTACAGCCCCGACGGGGAACAATACAAGGACATGGAATCATACGATCCATGGCCTACTATTCCTGATTCATACTCGAACAAGCTTGCACATCCCCCAGCCCTGCCTCTTAAGCCTCAATCTCCTCAGGCGCATTGATCTTAAGCTCGCTAATCGTCAGCATTGTGTAGCGGTGCTTGCTTTTGACCGTCTTCACTTTCCGCTGCCTCCTCTTCGTCTTCTCCTTCATTCTCATCGGCTCGCTCTCCGTGCCCGTCACCACGGCACGGCACTCGTATACCCGCTCGTCGATGAAGGGTGAGCCCTTGAGGGTGTAATCTCTGCTACCGATGACCGAGGCACGGTTGAGGCGGAGGACGTCGCCAGGCACGACGCCAGGCATCTTGAAGGGCAGGCGGACGCTATCGCCGGGCTGGACGAGGTACGGGCGTCCATGGATGTGGAAGGTGATGTAGTGGTTGGGCTGGGCCGCTAGGAAGGGCAGCGCCGCCTGCACGGATTCGGAGATCGGAGTCGTTGCGGACGGCGTCGACGTCTGGGCGGCGCCGGCGGCGGCCTGTTGTGCTATTGAGGAGGCTTGCGCGCCGACGGGAGGCGCATCTTGTGCGGCTGCGGCGGGCTCAATGATGGGTGCCGTGGAGTTGAAGCGGCGGGCGTGGATCGGGAGGAGGAAGGTCGGCGGGAGTCGCGTGATGGGTGTCCTGAGCTCCAGGACGGAGCGCAGCAATGTGCGACTCATCTTTTGATTGATGAGGGTTTGAAATCTTTTGTTTTAGTTGGACAGAGAGACAGTCGGACCTCGTTTGTCGGTCCAATTGCTGGTCTCTCACGTTCGTCGACTTTAGCTTTCTACGCGACTGGGACCCGGCCAACACGAAGCTTCAAAAAAGTTCGGATAGACCTGGAGTGCAATTCCTCTGGGTGCTCGGAAAATATGTTGCTCCGCTGATGCAAGCAGGGATGTTGGCGGCTGGACCTCGAATTTTGGGGTCGGACCCCACATCGCTATCGATATGGGATTTTTTTTTGGCTACCCGCCACTTCGACGGACGACGACCCTGAGGAGCTTCGCCGACATCAACACTACGGACGACTAGACTTCGTCCAGATCAGTAACACCATCCTGTAAAATCAAAGTCGCTACGGGCGTAAATCACTCAAGATGCCTCAGGTGAGTAGCTTTCCCATTCGCAGCTCTCTATTCTTACCTGTTGTACTAACAAATCCGCGAACAGAACGAGGTACGACACGCCCTCAGAAGGGCCTCTCCGTCTCCCAATCTCGGCGCCCGCTAACGAAGAAATTATAGTATATGGAGAGATGGCGCAAGCTTCATGGTCGGAGGTTAGAATCTTGAAATCAACCAGGAATTTTGACGAGGGGAGGGCTGACATTCGACTTTTCTCAGACTCGATCACGAGGAGAAGGCCCGCAAGAAGGAGGCTCGTGAGGGCCACAAGGCGTCCAAGGATGCGCAGAACCTGCGCGGTCTCCGCGCCAAGCTTCACGCGAAGAAGCGCCACAACGAGAAGATCCAGATGCGCAAGCAGATCAAGGCCCACGAGGAGCGCAACGTCAAGACCAACGACGAGAAGGAGCCCTCCGAGCCCATGCCCGCCTACCTGCTCGACCGAAACAACCCAAGCAACGCCAAGGCCATTTCTTCCCAGATCAAGAACAAGCGTGCCGAAAAGGCTGCCCGGTTCCAGGTTCCTTTGCCCAAGGTGAAGGGTATCTCTGAAGAGGAGATGTTCAAGGTTATCTCGACCGGAAAGAAGACGCACCAAAAGTCCTGGAAGCGTATGATTACGAAGCCAACTTTTGTCGGACCTAACTTCACCCGGAGAGATCCCAAGCACGAACGGTAATCATTCCTACGCATTCGGCGCCAACTTGGCAGTTTGAGGATCTTTGCTAACGAGGTGCTTTCCCAAAATCAGATTCATCCGTCCTATGGGGTACGTGACCGGAAGCGCTCTGTCTTCTCCTCCGTCTTACTGACAATGATCTCTAGTCTGCGTTACAAGCACGCGCACGTGTGTCACCCGGAACTCAACGTAACCGTAAAACTGCCAATCTTGGGAGTCAAGAAGAACCCTCAGAACCCTCTTTACACGAACCTGGGTGTCCTCACGAAAGGAACTGTGCTGGAAGTAAACGTTTCTGACATGGGCCTTACGACAGCGAGCGGCAAAGTGGTTTGGGGGAGATACGCCCAGGTGACGAATTCACCGGTAAGTGAAATTCCATCGAAAAGCGCGGCTATTTTGCTATTTCAATTGCTTCGTTTGGCTGCTTGGATGAGCCGGTCGTGGCACAGTGTCAACTTTGTAAGACGAGAAGCTAACGCACGGTATTCTTCAGGAGAACGATGGCTGCGTAAACGCAGTCCTGCTCGTTTAGATGGAAACAGGAAAAAAAAGTCAAGGCTATCGCGCAAGGAGTGTCACATAATGGCATCGGGGCACAGCAGGGACGCCGTGCCTCTATCGAAACGTGGAGCGGAAAAGCCTATGAGGTAGTGGTACTTGGGGCAGTCGAGTCCCAGCTGGCGTTAAGGCGTTCTGTCACCTCGTGTAAGGGGGGAATGGGTGGATGCCCGTGAGTGACAATATGAAAAAATTTCAACCTAGGTAGATGAAACAAGATTCCCATTTGTAGACTGGCAAAGGATGACTTGAGTGACGAGGATGACTGCAAGGTATTCGCTGCTTGGGCTTTTTTTTTAAATAGGCCCTTTATTACCCACGGCCAGCCAGCTTGATATCTAGGTATCACTCCCCTCAGCTCAAAATGGATTGGCCCTCCAAAGTTTCCACCGAATCAGACGCGAATTCCTCCCGCAGATCAAATCTTGCATTGAATAGAACCGTATCATGGAAATCCTTCTATATGAACAGTTATCGAGTTTCAAGCGATGCTTGCGACGAGGCACCGGTATCGAGGTCCAGGCTTCCATGGCGAGAACACATTCTGGTCCGTCGAGTGGCCTACAGTCGAGGAGACGGGTAGTCAAGAGTGTTTGGTTTCCAGAGTGTAATAGGTATAACGACGATGGGAAAGCAGGAAACAAGGAATATCAAAACAGAAACAAAAATGAGCTACCTGTGGCTTTACGTAGGGTCACCAAGTTCGAGCTCGCATTCGCTTGCCGAAACCAGGCATTCAACCATCCACCACTAGACCATATACACTTCAAGCGCCGCTCATGCATTTCCCTTCACTTTAGTTGCCTATTAGGGGTTCTCTCGCTTAGAATTAGCCCAGGCGACGGCTTTTGAGTCCTGAGAGTATTCACAAGGCAGGCATTCGATGGGTTTCCTGAAGAGTGGATTCTAGTCGCACCTGATAATTCACAGAGAGACCTGCAAAGGCAAGCGTTGCACTACAGACCATCAGGATCGAGTAAGCTTTGCATACAAATGCTTCCTCTCAGTGGCAAGATACATCTCCGAGTTCTTCTATACCATAACTTGGAGCCTCTACAGCAGGCGTTCTAGTTCAGAAACTAGTCCAGACCTAGTCCGAGGTCTTTCGCTGAGACGCAATCTCACCTGACGTCACTGTGTCGAAAAGAACATGATTTCTATGGCGCCAATGCCAATATCAGAATTTTTCCATTACATGCATGTAAAGCAAGGCAAGGTGCCAGTATTTGATTCAGAATGTTGTCTCTCATTGGACTTTGATTTGTTTGGGATATATCCTTCAATACCTATCTTCCTCTCGATCCCTTCCCTTGGATTCGAACAAAGCAACAAAGATTGGCATGTGTGTGTAATGCGACCCGAACAGTTGAAAAAATGAAACAATCCGTCCCGTGTTCCCCGGTTTGTGACGAACGCAAAAAGAAAAGAAGCAAAAAGTCAAGGAGACAAAGTTTTCAAGGGAAGTAGAAGAAGCTCCCTCGAAAGGCCTCAAAACGGAAAATGATTGCGAACCCTGATTCCTCACACACATCCCTTGAAGATCCCAAACTGAGAGGAAGTTGGGTTATCCGCTCTTTCCAGTTTGACCCCAAAAACGCCGAAAATAAAAACAAGTGACCACGAGTAAGAAGGGAAGAGATTTAAACTATCATTACTTTGATGATGTGGTGGTTCGAACAATACTGACGGTGAAGAAGAGCAAAAGCCACCTGAGCTTGGGAGAAAAAGTCGGAAATTGCTCTGGGCTGCGAAGACTTGAACAGGAGCGCCGAAACAGAGATGAAAAGGAGGGCTCGTTCAAGAGCTTTGGGTTAAGCGACCGTCGACTTGGACGGATCCAGATAATGCTGTGGCGATGCAAGGGAATTCTCCATGACTGAAATGATAAGCCCGCCTCGTGAGGCTGAGAAGGATGTGCTTGTCAACGCCGTACTTTTTGATGTTGCTGTTATTGCTGTCATGCGGAGAGAGAATCGTTCTGTGTTCTTCTCCGGTTTCATGTCGTAACTTTCGTTGCTGGAAAGAGATACGCAATTTTCGTGTATGAATGCATTCGAGTGTTGAGAGCAAGCATGGCGGGTATAGTAGACTAGGTATTTAGCCGAGCTTTCGGAAGCCTTCGACAGTAAGCATCGGGACTTCCACATCGCTGAGGCCGAGAACGCCCTCATCGCGTCTGCGGTCGACGAAGCCGTTGCATTCAGCAACGACGATGCTCCACTCGGCCAAAGCACGACCGGCGTAAACGGCGCGCTTGACGTAAATTCCCGTTGGGCGAAGGGGTTGTGTAAGGGGCTCGGGGCCGGTCCTACGACTTCCGGACTTGGACAGGTGAGGCCGTTGCTGAGCCTGGAGCACGGCATGAGCCTGGGCCATGGCCTTGGATTGCGGGGGTTGGGGCGCAGACTCCGACGGCTGCTGCGCCTCCTCCTCGGTCTTGCTCTCGGTAGGCGATGAGGCCGTTGATGAGTCGGAAGACACGGATGAAGCAGATGACTTCTCTGCACTTTCGAAGTCGAAGGTCATCAGCTCCACGTTCGGGTTGTTCTCAAAGTCGAACTTATTGCTGAGCCTGCGCACGAGAGAGGATGACGACACCGCAGTGACCGAAGACTTGCGCTCGAGGGTAGGGGAGGCGAGAGGACTGGCGTTCTTGGCTTCGTCGACGAGGCCCTTCTTCTTAGAGCCAGAGACACACCGTGTGGGATCGGGAAGACCAGCAGCAGGTGGAGGAGGGGTGCTGCCGCTTCTCGAACGGGAAGTGACCCAGGCCTGCGCCGGGGCGGGAAGGCGTGGGCGAGTAAGGATGCGATCGCGAGGCTGGGTGACGGCAGGAGGCTGCCAGGTCAGCGTGAACTTGAACACGAACTTCTGCTCCATAAAGATCGGCGAGGTGCCCGGCGAGCTGCCGTCAGACGACGTCGTGACAGCTGAGGCCGATGAAGTGGAAATCTTGGGGGGCAGAGGCGGGCCTCCTTGACGGCGTTTGGAAAGAGTGGCGGACTTGGACGACGTCGTTTCCTTGCGCGAGGACTCATTATCCTCGCCATCTGAACCGTTACCACCCAAAGACAGCACCTTGCCAAGCAGAGACCAGCGCTTCTTGCTGTTATCAGGCTTGGCAACCTCCTTAGTTTCTGTCGCCGGCGTTGATGACATGACTCCCTCGCCATTGACAATCTTGGAGAACGAGTCGAAAGGCTGGTTGAAGTAGCCTGGCTGCGGAATGTTCACTTCCGTACGGATGATCATGAACTTCTTGCCCGGCGTGGGGAGGCATGGTGATGTCGAGGGCGGCAGCCTTCCTGCG